GGGGAGCAGCGGGCGAGTCAGGAGAGGTCTGCTGCGCCTTGTGGATCACCTCTGGGCCTCCAGGGATTGAACTCTTGCTGCAGTGGCTTTGGAGAGCTTTATCGTGCAGTGCTTTAACCCGTTGCGCCACCAGGGGGAGACCATTTTACTTATTTTTTATTCTTTCATTCTTTTTGTCTCGAGGCTTTGGAAAACAAGTATTATTAAGGCCTGACTGAAAATATGTCTTCCCTGGCAAGTCTCTGTGTGGTAAATACTTAGGCAGGAACAGTTTCCTTGTCTGGGAGCTTTGCACTTCCGGAAATTTGAAATCTCCAGTAACATCGTGCTAATGGTTGCTAATACCAAAGCGACTTTTACTGCCATTACCTACTTCTTCCTTGGATTTTACACATTGGCTACTGAGGTGAGGCACTGCCTCTGTAAAAAGGAGTAAGGGCTCACTACACTTCATTATGCATCTATGCCAAAAAAATATTTTTTCTACCTCAGAAATCAGGTTGTTCTAATTGTGTGTTGCTGTTGATTGTATTAGTTTAGCCTATATCCACTACAAGGCTCCAGTTGCCACAATCACTTGGCTTTAAATATGAGCTTTTGCTTATCACTCAAGGTGCTTCATTTTCTAAAAGTAACGTTTATGAAAACTGGGTATTTTAAATCAAGCTCTGATAAGTAGAGTTCTGCTAATGTATCACAAAAGTGTTTCACCTCTTCAAAAACTTCTGTTGCTCAACGAGGATTCTGGAATACTTCATGGTTTCGTTTTTGCCAAAATAGAAAGCTTAGTTTTAGAAGTCTACAGAAGGGCGATGATTTTGAGAAAATATTTTAAGTTTATATTATTTATTAGAAATTACTTTTGGGCCCTCCCTGGGTGTGCAGCGGGTTAAAGCACAGCACTAAGAAGCTAAAGCCACTTCCGCATGAGTTCGATCCCCACCTGGACCGGAGGTGACCACATGGTGCAGCAGACCTGCCTGCTGCAGCTCCCCTCAGTAGTGTACTTCGACAATCTGCCTGTCCTGCTCCCCACTCTGTCTCTGGTGAATCCTCTTGCCACCCCTGCACTTCTGGCCTGTGCATAAATAAATAAATCTTTTTAAAAATTACTTCAAAATAAGATTTAAGTTACGTTCATTGCTATATACCAGAGATGGGCAAACAACAGTCCACGAAAGTTTTATTGGAACATAGCATGGTCATTCATTTGTGTTATTCACTGCTTTCATCCTGTAAGAGCAAAGCTGAGTAGTTCTAACAGAGACCACATGGCCTGCAAAACCTAAAATAGTTACTCTGGTTCTTTAAATAAAAAGTCTGTTGTTTCCTGCTGTGTCACCCCACCTCCCTCACACTCCCAACCATTTATCCTATCATCCCTAACTCACTGCTCATTGTGTTCTTGATTTTTATTCCATAAGTGAGTAATACAACCTTTGCCTTCTTCAGGGGAACATTTTTTTTAAAAAAAGA